GAAAGCATGACGGATGGACTCTTCTCTGAAAAAACTGACACGGTAACTAAGTAATTATATGTAGTATTGGGCCCACACTACCTGTCCTTAATACATGTACAGTGTAGCCTCTTTATTAAGTGACACCATTGGGCCCACACTACCTGTCCTTAATACATGTACAGTGTAGCCTCTTTATTAAGGACACCATTGGGCCCACACTACCTGTCCTTAATACAGAGGTGTCCTCATTTCAGAGGTACTTTTGTATAGGCTTGTACCAATTGGGATATTACAGAATGTCCTCATTATAAAAGTGTCCTTATAAAGGTGTCCTTATTATAAAGGCTACACTGTACAGCATTATTAGTGTGTTGATGTGTCTTGATTGAGTGTATTCCATTTGTTACTGTTAGTAATAACATTGAAACTACCTTCCATCTCTCGTGTTTGTACTGTATATATTGAATATATGAACAATATATTCAATATATATATTCAATAATGCATATATTGAACCTACATGTACATGTATATTGTACCTATATTGAGTAAATTATTATTAGTAAAATGATTATTAGTACCAGGCGTTTATTCAAGCCCGGCCTTTATTTGAACATTTATGGTATGTACATTATTATTATTATTGCTATTGTTATGAGAAATTTTAACAAAAACAATAACGAATAACAAACAAAGCATAACAAATAACATAACAAAAACCACGTTAGTCATTATTATGAAAAACAAAAAAAAACAAAGCAAAACAAAAAATAATAATAAAAAATGAGAGATGGGTCAGGGGAGGGTTACATGTTGCAATAAAGTAGAAAAGCACCATCAACAGAAGGGAGATAGGAGGAGTCATATTATTTTTTTAGAGTTGATTGATGCCAGAAAAGATGAAGACATCACTGAGGAGTCCAGGGTCTTCTTTTTAGATAAGTCTCATCGTCTTCAAGAAGCGGTTGTTGATAGTGACGTACCATCAGTTAACATTAGGGGAACCATTGACCCTGTAAGAGGGAGAGAGGGAGAGAGGGAGGGAGAAAAGGGAAGAAGTGATTCTTTTACTATCTTCTACTTTTTTAGGCTCCTATACAAGTATCAGATCAGACTCCAATGAAAACTGTAGTTGAGTTATTTGGGAAGATGGGACTCAGGCAAGCTTTTGTATCACGCAATGGGTAAGGAATAGAAACTAATTCATTTATACATGTACATGTACTTTTACAGCTTTAACATATGTACATGTAGCACTACACTAGTACTAGTTTCAATTTTTAATATTATTTATTTTATATTTCTAGTCGTCTGTTGGGTATAGTTACAAAGAAGGATATGTTGCGTCATGTTTCATCAATGGAGAAGAACCCTTACTCCATACAGTATCATTAACATTGCTATACATATACTGTACATGTATATATATATTTATTATAAATAAAAGAATAGTGTATTTGCTTGTTGTTGTTTTTTGATTTATTTATTTTGCTGACGTTTGTTATAATGATATTCATTGACATACCAACCATCACCACAAGCATAAATGCCATAAGATATGGCTACTGGAGGAGAAATGAATTATCAACCAAGCAAGATCTTAGGTTTGTATCTTGTTACTTTGCTGTGTGTGTCTGTTACTAGTTCTATTATACAGATATAAATGATCTTGGAAAAGTCATTAGTACGTTAGAAAGGAGTGATTTTTCAGCAGGTAGATGGAGTGAATTGGGGCTCAAGCTACAGATCAGTCACCCAAAGCTTAATGCGATTAAAGCTGATAGCCCTCAAGGGTGTCTTACAGAATGTTTAGTTCTCTGGCTCCAGCAGGATTATGATGTCGATAAGTATGGTAAACCTTCACTGGAGAAGTTGGCAGCTGCTGTAAA